TCGCTCGAGCGATCTCTTTCTTTCTAATCAAACAGATCCAAGTCTTCGCAGATCCGACGACGCGACTGTAATGCTGGTAATCCGATCCGGTCAATTCCGGTTTAAAATGTAATTGATATTTGGTAAAGGACCAATCATGTTCGGTTTTTCAAAGACCGGGTAATTGAACTTAAACCGACTTGAAAGGCGTTTAAACCCAATTTGACAGGTTGGAATTTCGAAGAGCTGCTAAAACCCCTAAAACCCTAAAATCAAAATCGAGAGAGAGAGACGATGGATCACATAGCAGCGGCGGAAGAGCAACTCGTATCGGAGAGGATTAGAAGGAAACTCGAGGAAGTTAATGCATCTGCTCAGTCTCAGCTCGCTCCTATTCAAGATCATATCAATTTCACCCTTCAGGTATTTATTACAGTCATATGTTTTTTTTTAGCAAACCTGCTCCTCGTACTTGTAAGTGTATGTTGCATATGTGTGTTCTTGTTGATTTTGGGTCGGATGAACAATAGTTTACGGATTCTGAGAAATTGACCAAAAAGCCGAAATTTCACTTGAATTTTTGCTATATCTTGTAACAAATTAGGGAGAAAGAAATAAGAACAAAAAAAACTATTTTTAGTGGCCAATTCGAGGCATTGATCTGTTTTAGTAAAGGTCTTTCCATTGAAGTTTAACTTAAGTTTTTTTTTAAGCTCAATTCTGCTGCAGGATATGATACAAGTCTGTGTAGTTCTCTTTTAATATGCGAATTTGATCTCTCAGGTAATTTGATAAGAAGATGTCATTCTTTTAGCTAAGTTAAGATCCTGGAAACTAAATCTTGTTAGTTGTGATTATATCTCTACAACTATAACTCAATTTCTATGAAAGTGTATTTTTTTCATATCATATTGGTAGTAGTTATTTTGAGTTTCTGTTAAGTTGATTTTGTGAGTAATCAACCCTGGAAAAAAATGATGAATTGCAGCAAGCTTATTTCAAATGTGCGTACGAGTGCTTTGACAGAAGAAGGAAGCAAGAGGAGATAGGCAACTGTGTTGAGCGCTGCAGTGCTCCAGTTCTCAATTCGCAACAACATTTCGAAAGCGAAATGGCTCAGTTTCAGGTAATATGATTACTTATTGTAACTCACAAAAGGCATGCTTTTTTTGCTATGTAACTGAAATTGTTATTATGATGCAGGAAAGGATGAACAGATCTCTCACGGTCTGTCAAGACAAATTTGAGGCTTCAAAGCTCCATAAGAACAAGGTTGATGCCGCGAAAGATATGGAGAGTTGCGTGAACCAATCCATTGAAGACACTCTCAATACATTACCTCATATTGTGCAGAGAATGAAGACAGCCTTCTCCATTCGCGACTAGAGTTTGCTTACTTTTTTTCAGAAAATTGGCGATTTAGAACTTGAATTTTATCTTCGAGGACGAAGAATCGTTTAACTAAACATTGTAATGGTTCTTTCTTTGTCGTTAAAATTGGATGAAAAGTTTTACTTTCGAGTGTTAGTTTTCAATTGTCTGTTATTGGTGATTGTTTATCTTGAACCGAGCCAAACCGACTCGGATTTTAGTCGGTTTGATTTTTCGGTCTTCTGAGTCTTAATTCGGGTTTAGCTATAAAAAAGACGGAAATTTAAAAATAATCGACCACCATCATTAATCAAATGGGTCTCTTTCCCGTCGAAGGAATTTCTTCGCCGGCGATTTCGCAACAGATACCATTCATCACCCACAAAAACCATGCCAATCCGAAGATCCAGCAACTTAATCAATCTACCGTCGAAACCACCGTTTCATGGACTTCTCGCATCACTCTCCTCTCACGGAATGGTCGATTAGCGGAGGCAGTGAAGGAATTCTCCGGTATGAGACTCGCCGGCGTCGAGCCTAACCACATCACTTTCATTGCTCTACTCTCTGGATGGGGTGATTTACTCTCCGGAAGTGAAGCCTTGGGTGATTTGCTTCATGGGTATGCTTGTAAACTTGGTCTTGATAGAGCCCATGTCATGGTTGGTACTGCAATTCTCGGCATGTACTCCAAGCGCGGACGTTTTAGGAAGGCTAGATTGGTTTTCGATTACATGGAAGAAAAAAATTCGGTTACTTGGAATACAATGATCGATGGGTACATGAGGAATGGTCAAGTCGATGACGCTGTTAAGTTGTTCGACGAAATGCCTGAACGAGACTTGATTTCTTGGACAGCTATGATAAATGGGTTTGTTAAGAAAGGTTTTCATGAGGAAGCTTTGGCATGGTTCCGTGAGATGCAGATTTCTGGAGTGAAACCAGATTACGTTGCTATTATTGCTGCTCTTGCCGCTTGTACAAATCTTGGTGCTCTCTCGTTTGGANTATGGATACATCGTTATGTTGTGAGTCAGGATTTCAAGAACAATGTCAGGGTGAGTAATTCACTGATTGATTTGTATTGTCGATGCGGATGTGTGGAGTTTGCTCGACAAGTTTTTGACAAAATGGAGAAACGAACCGTTGTTTCATGGAATTCAGTCATTGTTGGTTTTGCTGCTAACGGGCATGCACATGAATCTTTGGTCTACTTCAGAAAAATGCAAGAAGAAGGGTTTAAACCTAACGCAGTCACTTTCACCGGGGCGCTAGCCGCTTGTAACCATGTAGGTCTAGTCGAAGAAGGTCTTCGATATTTCCAAAGTATGAAAAGGGATTATAGAATCTCGCCTCGAATTGAGCATTATGGATGCTTAGTGGATTTGTATAGTCGGGCTGGGAGATTGGAAGACGCTTTGAAAGTGGTACAGAGCATGCCGATGAAGCCAAATGAAGTCGTGATTGGATCGTTGCTTGCAGCCTGCAGGACTCAAGGGAACAATACTGTCTTAGCGGAGAGGGTAATGAAGCATCTTAGTGACCTCAACGTGAAAAGCCATTCAAATTATGTGATTCTTTCGAACATGTATGCGGCTGATGGAAAATGGGAAGGAGCTAGTAAGATGAGAAGGAAAATGAAAGGTCTCGGTCTAAAGAAGCAGCCTGGGTTTAGTTCAATAGAGATTGATGATTGCACGCATGTGTTCATGGCAGGGGACAGTGCCCATGTCGAAACCGCTGATATCCGCGAGGTCCTCGAGTTTCTTTGTTTTGATATGCGATCACAGGGATATGTAGCTGAAACGCTTGTTTGTGATCTACTGAATGATTGAAATCCAGGAACTTTCACATCCCAAGTTTTGTACAAGTAAGATTGGCAAACTACTGAGCATGAAATAATACATGTGATATCGATTGGAAGTAAGTGACGATGCATTAAGCTCAACATGGTTGACCACAAAGAAGCCTTATCATGGTCTTAGACATGCTGAAATCCAGAAGAAACCTTACCAAATAACCATTGCTGCTTGCACCAACCATTTTGCAAGATCCTACCAATAACTGGATTGAGTAGATTTGGGTGTACAAAGCTATATCTAAACCTGACGAGTAGAGGCCACACAGAGATATGGGTCTCCCGTGCTTTGATAAACGTAGAATTGAAGCTCTCTTACCTTGGTGGCCATCTCCTCATGCTAATATGGTAACTTGAAACCATGTGTAATCTTCTGCATCTGAACATGATATGGTGAAGTATTGCTGGTTACTATCAAGTTAGTAAATGGTTAATTCCCGCAATTTGCATAATTTTATTGCTCTGTTTGTCTGGGTTT